GAATTTTAGATTTAAAGGATTGTGTACATTTGTATCTTTTTCTGTTTCCCAAAATAAGTGAATTCAATGTTTTACACTTCTGAAAATCAGACACTTGATCCAAGTGTAACTGTTGGTGTTTTGGCTTAACACTGAAAAGTCTTTCAAAGGTTTTTCCCTGAATTTGAGCTTGAAATTAATTAAGAATTGTGTAAGCATGTGTGGAATTTGTAGGTGTGCGTGTGGATGGCTGGTTAGCATTTTCCCCCAGTGTGAAATTGTGCGTGTAATGGACTAATTTTTAAGATGGGATTAAGGTTTGAAGGGGAAGTCGAGTCAAGTGAGAATAATTATCACCTACCTACCAATAGACTGTCCTTCCCAGAATGCTACGAGGAGTTTTATTTTTTTCAAATGTAAAGCAGGACAACAATGAAGAGACTGTAATTGATTTTATTTGCCTCCCTCGTATGTGCTGTGCTCTGAAATATGTCCTGTTAACAACAATCAGCCCTTTGCTATCTTCTTACTCAGTCCTTCAGTCCTTGTGCCCGCTGACCATACTGCATTCAGCTCCTGGCAGGGAGTCGGGTATTTGTTCTCGGTGCCTGTCACACAGGCAGATCTTTTGCCAACAATGCTGTTTCTTTGGTTCAGCTCTACTTTCTCTTCAGCTCACTTTTCATCTGCTGGAGCTGCTTTCACCTTTGAATGAGGTAAAACACACAGTGTGGTTTTATAGCTGCTGCTTACATAAAGGTGGGATTTTAACTACTTACGTGACACAGAGAGGCTTTGTGAGCGCGTCGGTAGGAATGGTTTTGCTTTAGAAGCAAAACATTGATGGGATCTGCTTAAAGCTAGTCGACTTCTCCATTTTAAAGCCTACAGCACCAATTGAACACATTTTCTATTGATGTATGTATTGTGTTTTTTCCCCTTTTAGTCCTGATTTATACTAATTGTTATATGAGAACAATTAGTTTTCAACCTGTGGTTTGCTAATTCACCATCTTGGTTTTTGTGGATCCAGATGTTTAAATGAGAAGTGTGCTAAGTCTTCAGCAACCTCTAACTATTTTTTAGCTCCATAAATAGCACAGATGTTGTCTGATGACTCAAACCCACTACTCCCACTGGTAGTAGCTTTGATCGCTTTGTACTCTGAGCTGATATTTGTTTGGTTGATAGTAGGGCTGCCACGATTAGTCGACTAGTCACGATTACGTCGACTATCAAAATCGTCGACGACTAATTTAATAGTCGACGCTCATTTGGAGCTTTGTAAGATCACAAAAGACGCAGGAATAAGTAGTAGGATTTAAGAGTGTAATAATGGACTGAAACAGAAGATGGCAGCACTGCATGTACGAGGATGCCAGCTGCCGTTAAACCCCGAAGAAGAAGAAGTAGCTCTGTCCCAGAATTCATAGCGCAGCCCAGCTCAGTTTACAACAATGGCGGCAGCTAGTTAGTTTTAATATTACTCTTATTATTCTTTCTGGGTCACAAAATAAACGTTGAACATATTTCCAGGCGAGAATGTAGCTGTGTAAACCTCAAATATCTGCTCAGTTTATCAAGACACCACATATTTTCAAAAGCGCTCCAACGTTTTCGGAGACGTCTGTTACCCACTAGCTGGATAGCTAGCCGGGGGCTAGGCTCACTAGAGCCACCGGACTCCCGGCAAATCATTTTCAAACACACCGCCTACTCAGGTTAAATATATATGAGTCACTTAGATAACTTAGAAATGTTATTGTTTGGCTTTTTTCAGTATTTTATTTGTTCCTGAGTAAATCGGTTTGGCTGAGATTAAAGTTATAGTTTTTACACAGCTGAATAAACGTCAAGCAGACAGCTGATTATCAGAAGTGTGAGATGCTCGAGAATTTACTCCGGTGTCCTGTTATATTTTAGATAGCAAGGAGTTTATTAAACTTCACCGAAACAATCTGCAAATTTCATTAAAATTTAATAAACTATCATCTGCTCTTTATTTTTAGTTAGCACAAACCTTAAACACTTAAAGCTGTAAGCTAATGATAGTTATATAAGAGCAGATGCTGCTGGTGCAATAAGCTGTACGTTTTATGTCCAATGGATGATGATCTGATTAGTCGACTAATCGCAAAAATAATCGGTGACTAGTCGACTATCAAAATAATTGTTTGTGGCAGCCCTAGTTGATAGTTGGATTTACCTGCTACAACTTCTCAAATTTTATTGGTTGACACTACTGGGGCTCCAAATGCAAACCGGAGGGCCTCAACTATCAAATACACTATACTACTCGACATTTACAGATATCTCTTCAGAGAAGATCTTAACTCAGAGGTGTGCTGACACCTTTAGATGTTTTCAGGAGACGTCTAGTCTGGCCTGCTTGTTCTTGAGTGTAACCAGTGGTTTGCCCTTTGCTGTAAATTCTCATGAAGTTGTCTCTTGATTGTTGTCTTGATAGTGACATGCATACCTTTTTTGCATTAGATATTAAGTCATTAAGCCATTAAATCCTAACCAAGTAAATCATTCTGAGATCACCCACTTAGTCATCTTCTGTGGTCTTTCAGGCATGTTGGTGT